GCAAGTGTCAGCAGGCGTAACTAAGAGCAGAAGTCACTGCACTCATCGGAGTGTCTGATGTTCTCAGGTGCCGCACAAGTGAAGAACAGAAGCCAGTCAGAGCACAATACGAGGGCTCGAGCCAGCTTACACAAAAGCACTTTAATGGACAGTATACAATTTTCCAAAATATATTTTTGTAAGAAAAATGGCAATAATTAAGTATAGTCTTTACAAAGAAGTTTCTCAGTAAATTCCAGTGTACTTCAGACCCCTGTCCACTAAGACATATGCCCCCCCCGCCCCCCCCCACCCCAGTCTCCTGGGCAAACTGCTTAAAATTCACGAATAACAGAAAAGACCCACATCAAGTGATAATCGCCTTCTTTCACCCAGTGTTGGGTTTTCACCAAACCTCAGTGAATCAGCTGGTGACAATGATGAAAGAGATGCCTTTGCTTTACTCTTGTCCCTCTGCCTTCCCCTGTCTTGTTCCTCTGGATCCTTAGTCCTGCTAGTAGCAGATCATATAAAAGCTCATTCAAAACTTTCTTTTTCCCCCAACAGAATTGTTCATTTAAGTCTTAGACCTAAATAACTCAGAATGTGGAAGACCAGTAAGGTTTCTGTTTTTGTCTTCATGCCCTCCCTAGCCTTGCTGCAAGATAGGATTTGAGAAGGGAATTCAGCCCTCTGTGTCATTCTGGTGCCTGTCTTTAATTTGGTTCTGAGGCACACGACACTGGACAGTCTTCCAGCACATGTTTTAATCCGGTTTCTGTCGCTAACCACATGATTTTGGCCAAGTCACTTATCTTTCTGGGCTTCAGGTTTTCTCTTTAAAGAAAAATATTGGACTAGGTCTCTAACACCCTCTCCCTATGACTAGAATGTCACTTTCCAATGAGTGTATACTGACTCCAACCCTTACTATAATAGGCTGGGACTTTGCCGGGGAAGGATGAGGATCATACTTAAAAATGCCCATTACTCAAGACAAATACTTTGTCATCAGCCTATCTTAAATTTCGTTTTTCATTAAAGAAAAATAAAAAAACTTGTCATTTCTAGTAAAATAGACATTTACATTCCTGTTTTGTTTTTGTTTTTAAAGCCATCTCTCTTAGCTAACAAATGTTTTTCCAAAGTATATTCACTTAAAGCAGTACAGGGTGGATTAATATGTGACTTTTATTTACATTATCAAAAAATACGTATATATGTATCAGCTCGAACTTATTTTTCAAAGTTTCTCCAGCATATTGTCAAAAAGGATAAATCTTGGAAGTGGTTTAAATGAACTTTCTGCCAACTTTCCTTACCAAAGGGGGGAAAAAGAACCTTGTGTCTAGATTAAACCCGTATCCTGTCTTACGATGCAAAGCATATTTCTGTGCCTCCTTCGTAAGCATTGCTGCTTCTCCCCCCGCTTATGACAGCATGTTTCCCACTGGATTTTGTCCAGTCATCAGAGGCATGGTTTCTAGCCTTTTGTGCAGCTTAGGAAAACCAGTGTGTCACTGAAGTAAAGAGTTTATCATCTCTTTGGTATAACTTGTTCAAAGTCATGCTGAGTGGCCGGTATTCCTCTTCTCTCTTCTCAGCCCCAGAATCTGAATTACCTGACAGCATTTAGAAACCAGTAGAAAGATGGGAAGAAGATGTCCTTTGCAGATGCATGGCTCTGTGGCCTTTGACATAGATGTCTAGTGGCAAGAACAAGCCGAGGCAAGGTATTGGATTCTGAAGTTGCCCTAAAAAGCTAGAGTAACACAATGTGGATGGACCTCAAGAAGGAACCTCTGAACCAGCCCAGTGCTTCTCAGAGGTCTCCTTAGAGCCACAGTCATTCCAGGCATTGTCTATCTCCCCAAGAGGCCTACAGGTTGCGACCTTTGATCAGTTTGCAGAGGCATATTTGCTACCTCGGTCTCAAGGCCTGGCTGGTGAAATGTTACGCAGAATCAGCATAGGAGCCGTAATCCGGCCTGGCCTTTCCCACAGACACCATGATAGAAAGAACCAAATACGGGACAGGAAGGAAGTGACCAGATCTTTTCCCAACATGACAAGATATCCTTCCTTTTCCCCCAAACTGGCACTGTTCTCCATCCTGCCAACCTCCACATGCTAGAGAACCAGGGCGAATGCTTTTGGATCCTTGTTAGCTTTGTATCTCTCTAACTCTTGAGAAATTCACTGGGGCCCCTACTTGAACCCCAAAGCCAACGGGCGAGAAGCTATGAAGAAGGAATCAGGCAGCCACGGAGGGACACAGATCTTCCCCTTAAACTCCTCCCCTTTTAATAAAAGAATCTATCCCAAATCTGAGAGCCTATGTCATCAGAACCATCCCTCTGCATTCTGGGGTTCTGACTCTTGGCCCGAAATGACAGTTTTCACTCTCCTAAGCAGTGCTGCCCATCTTCCTAGTTAATTCCAGGGATCTTACGCCCAGGAACAATAGTGACCATGGGCAAAGTTCAAAATCCCACACAGGATTCTCTCGTCAGAAAATCAGATTAAACCTCACCACGCCTAGTCTTCCTACATGGTGGCTAACTGCTGAGCCCCTCAGATCTCCTCTACTGAGGAACAGATAGTATTTTATTTCCCTGAGATGCTACCAGAAACTGCAGGACAACAGGGCAGCCCCACTAGGACTACAGAGAAGAGGACATGGCTCCATGCCAGGACAGTGAGGGGTTACCGAGAACAGACAGACGGCCATGCCCCCGGGCTGCCCGTTATGCACCTTAAAATGCACCTCATGTTCTAGGCCTCTCTTGCCCTATGGCACAGGAGACTCTAATCAGTGAGTTTAGCTCACTGAAAGTCTCTACAATTTGAGCTTTGGCCTTAGGCAGTAGAGGGCTGGGTTAGAAAACATAACAAAACTCTCAGCAACTTGAAAAGTCCCTGAGTTTCCTATGAAATAGAAGAGCCTAGCCTCCCCGGCCTTCCTTCGATTGTCTGTCAAGACGCCCTCTCTGCTGACTGGGGCCCTGGGAAAGTCTGTCCGAATGCCGCCCATTCGCGCTAATCTTGGGGTTTCCTAGCTGGGATTTTCACCCCCGTTGGCTGAGCAGTGAACAACAGTATAGGAACCCTTTGCCTTCATTAGCTGTGGAATTTAGCCCCTGGTGGGGAAGAGAGGCCAATGGAACACTTGGGAAGCCTCTTCAGGGAGTCCCTTGGGTGATGGGCCAGGACACACCCGGGGAGGAAGGGCTTCCCCAGCTCTCCACCTGTAGACGGACCCCTAAGCAGACCTCGTTCACGCTGGGAGTCTCGTGTGGTCCAAGTCCCAGTCTCACTAAGCAAATGGCAGGAAACCAGAATCCAGACAAGGGGTTCAAGGTCATGAATGACCTGTGTTAGTCTCAAGATCCTGGGGCAGAATGGGAATAAAAATCGAGTGAATGGAAGGGGAAGAACAAAGGGGACGAGAACAATGGCAGACGAGGCTGGGGTAGGAGACAGAACTGGGACCTATGCTTTCAAGGAACCAGATCCCGCTGAGGCAGGATCGGGCCCCGCTGCTCTCCCTTCTGTCCCATCCATCATCTGGCAGCTCCACCCCCAGCCCGGGGCAGCTCTGGAGGGAGGGCACGAGGGATCGCAGCAGTGTGGCAGGGTGGAACGAGCACTGGCCTGCAGGAAGGAATCTGTTTTCATCCTGACTCTGTCACCAAGTGGCTGTGTCACCCTTGACTTTACCCTCTTCGGGCTTCAGTCATCTCATCTGTGAAATGAAGGGATTCGACTAGCTGATCTCTACGTCCCCAGTATGGCTCACTCTTGGTTTCCCTTCCTCTCTCTCATCTTCCAGCAGCACTGAGCTCAGGCACTAGTAGGTTATTTTACAAGAGGAATCTAGACAGGATATGATTTGTTCAGTTTGAAAGAGAAAAATTAAGGCCCTTTGCGGGATTAGGAGGAGGGAACCCTCCAAGTCTGCTCCCTCCCCAGTCTTTCCCTCAAATGGGAAGGACTTTCCTCCCCTGTCCCAATGGCACTTGAGGTGGTCCGGTCTGGAGCTCTGTGGCACCGTCGGAGGCCGCCAGCAGACCGGATTAGAGGTGTGTGTCTTCCTCCTCATCTAGGTCATCCTTGGTCAGGTTGTCCAGGGGGACGATCCAGCTGTCTCCCAGCTCCCCGTTAAGGTTGACCACCTTTTTCTCCTGCATCTCTGATGAGGTCTCCATCACTTCCAGTGTTGGGTTGTCATGGTAACCATTCTCCACGGTCTGCAGCTCCTCCGTTAGTCGTTGCTAAAGAGAGGAAGATGACCCAAGAAAAAAGGGTAACTTTGAGGGCTATCAGCCTCAATAAAGCACGTGTACCCCTATAATCCAGAACCCCAATTTGTACAGTAAGTGCTCCTGGAGGCCATCCTGACCACTGACTTGCCTCAGGGCTAGTTTGAGACAAGGACTTGCCCAGCCCCCTAAAATTCCCAGCTCACTCCACCTTCACCCTGGTGGCAAATTCACGAAGCATGTGGAGATGCGCCTTGTTCTCCCGAGTCCTCCAGACTCCCCTCCATTCCCTCCCCGCAAACCTCACTCCACAGGCACCTGCCTCACCTCACTGCACTGAATTGGGAAGGACTGTATATAAAATAATATTTTTTTTTAAAAAAGTTAAGCATTACCATACGATCCAGCAATTCTACTTCTGGGTACATACCCGAAAGGATTGAAAGCAGAGACTCAAACAGGTATTTGCACACCCAGGTTCACAGCAGCATTATTCACAGTATGCAATAGGTAGAAACCACCCAAAGGTCTACCAGCAGGTGAACAGATACATAAAATGTGATATAACATACAATGGAATAATAGCCTTAAGACGGAATGGATTCTGACACGTGCCACAACATGGAATAACCTTGAAATCATCATGCTAATGACATATAAGCCAGACACAGAAGGACAAATATCATATGATTCCACTTAGATGAGGTAACCGGAGTAGGCAATTTCGAAGAGCCAGATTGTGGATTCTGGGTTACCAGGGGCTGGGTGGGGAGAGACTGGGGAATTAAGTGTTTCATGGTACAGTTTCAGCTGGGGCGGGCGGAAGTGTTCTGGAGGTCGCGTCGGATGCCGGTGATGCAGCAAAACACCGTGCGTGCTACATAAGACCATTGGATCGTCCACTTGAAAACGGTGAAATGGTAAGTTTTATGTCATATATATTTGACCACAATAAACACATTTTTAAAAGGAAAAGGAAATAAATTATGACTTTCTTCAGGCCAGGTGACTGAGAGCCTCTCTAAGCCTGAGTAAGACGGTACTGCAGGACCTACGGCCCCCTCCGCTGAGGTGGGAGCCATGGGGACAGTGCTTTCTCTCTCTCTCTGTGAGATACAACCTGAGTTGCACAGCAGAGTCACCTGGGAGGCATTTAACAAATACACCGATTCAGAGATTCTGTTCCGACTTTGGGTGTGTAAGGAAGCTGGGCATGGGGTGTTTTTAAAGCTCTACCCAATGGACAGAAGTGGGATGGGAATTCTAGGAAGGTGGGTGAAAGAACTGGCTAGACAGACACACCTGCGCCCATTTTATCAGCGACTCCTTACGGCACGTGTGTAAAGTGGACATTCGCCCCATTACGCAGGTGAGAAACCCGGAGCTCAGATTCTATGACTCGCTTGAGGTCACACAGATAACAGAGAGGCAGAGCTACCGCTTAAACCAAGCCTTTCTGACTCCAAAGCCCACAGTCTTCCACCATGCCGCTGCTTTAATATTCCATGAAGTATTCATTTCCTAGAAGGGATGTTCTCCGCCTGGCATAAAGGGTCTGTGGACCAACCACTCACCTTCCTCGAACATGGGAATAGTGGGCTGAGAGTCATCTGGTGAGCTGGACTGCTTCCTGGCTAGGGGAGTGGAATCCTCACCTGGTCCTTCCTCTGGGAGAGGCGCTGGTGGCAGCAGCCATAGAGGGCCGCCACGAGGAGCAGAAAGGATGCCATGCAGACAATATTTTTTGCTGAACCGGTCCTCAGTCTCATCTGGTGGTCCTTGACCCTCAAGCTTCATGTCATTGACTCCCATCTGGCCAGGAAGGAGAACGTTATGTGGCAGGAAACAGGCTCTGGGCACCCTCTCTCTGACATCCCATTCACTCTTGAGCTCTCCTGCTGGAGGTGCGGTGGGGCCTATTCCACCAGCCTGCTGTCCCCTCTCTTAACCTCCTGTCTTCCAGATGCTGGCAAATTAGGGGTACTTCTACAATGAGAGAAGCACTGTGGAGCGAAGTCACTGTAGACTTACAAGGGACAGACTCCTGACCCAATCTGTCCCAACACGTGGGAGGAGCCCACTTACCTCCTTCAGGTCATCCCATTTGTCTTTCAGCGATTCATATACGTCCTTAAGAACGAGTTTTGCTGTGGGAGAGGAGGGAGAGATGCTGCTTCAGTGGTCTGGCTCAGAGCGAGCTGGTAGGGGATAGAGATTGGGCCCCAAGAGGAGGATGAACTGGATCTCAGTCTCCTGAGTGGTATCTCTCTTGGGTGGCCCCGGAAGGGGGAGTGGCTTGACAATTCTTAGGGAACTGAGGGAACACCAGTGCCGACCCATCCCCACGGCTCCTGAGCCATCACCCCCTGCCCCATTCACATTCCGCATAGCCCCACCATGCCCCCGACTCACTTCGAATAGTGATCTCTTCGACTGCCACTGCCTGGCCTTCTGAACTGACTATCAGATGTATGTGGCACTGGTCTTGAGTTGGGTTCAAGGCAGATTTAGCCGCTCGGCACAGAAGTGTGACCAGTTTGTCATCCAGAGGGCTCCCCGCCTAATGTGGGAGATCACAGGTCATTCCTCAGGGGTCACGATAGCAGCCTAGGCTTGGGGGGCTGCTCTTCGGAGCAATGGTCAGGCGAATGTGGTGGCCCGGCAGGAACCTATCCCCCTCTCCGGCCTCAACTGGTGCCCCTCCCGGGCCTGTCAGGGGTCACGAGGTAAGTGCTGTTGTGCTGATGTCCAGGACCAGACCCTGCCCTCTCTGCCTCACGCAGAGCTCTTCCCCAGTCCCCTCATACCCGGTTATCTTGTCTGTGGTTGAACAATACCGTTTACCCTAGTGTCCCTTTCGCCCTCGAAATTCTTAAAGGGTCACAGCCTAACGCTCTTTATCACCTCTCTCCCCAGAAGGAGCTGGAGGAGGCGCTGCCTGGCAGCACTACCCTGCCGCCAGTGGGGAAGGCCAGTTCTCTCTGCACTTCTCACCAGCCTGGACGCCCTGGCCAAAGACCTCAGGAGAGGAAGCTGTGGCTCACAGCTCAAGGTCGTCTGTCCCAAAGTTGAAACACGTGCCCATCCCCTAGGCTAAGACTCTCTGAAACCGTAGGCAGGCTGACAGGAAGAAAGGAGGAGCCGTCACTGAAGAGGGGAACGTGACAGTATCTTGAAGATGCGCACGGGGACATCTTGGAAGGGAGCCTTCTATATTTCTAAGCAAAAAGAGCACGGCTGACGTGACTTTAGGACTGAGGGTGAAGATGCAAAGTGTAGACAGCTTTTACCCAATCCTGCCATGTCACCGAGGGGCACCCCGAGCTGGTGCTTCTCTGATCTGATTTAGGAGTAAGGGACTGAGATAAAGCAAAGGACTCTTGGTATGACTCACCTCAGGGCACCCACAAACCATCTGCTGGGTTTCTACCTGGAATTTCCTTAGGTTTACTAATTCCCCAGCCTGACAGTAGGTGGGCATCCAGGGCTTTCCACTTTCCCTTCGTAGCAAAAGGAAAAAAAGTGCTTCTCACACAACCTGCCTTAGTTTTAGCCAAAAAGCGGGCCTGAGGAAAGGGGTGGGTAAGCATCAACGCGATTTCCTACCTGGTCCACAAAGCCCAACCCCAGGTAAACACAGCTCCCGTATAAAACTCCAGTCTAAATGTAGGCTTTTGTAAAGACCACTTGGAAAATTTCAGCAAAATGGACACCAACAAGAAAATAAAGGCGGCATTACAGTGTTTTGTAAACCCAACTTCTCCATCCTTTAGAAACCATGTTCGGTTCTAGCTCTGAGGGATGTTTGCAAAAGTAGGCACTGACCAGGAGATGGCAGCAGTGAGCCATCCGTCACCGTCACAGGGCTCAACCATTCATTGGGTGAAGAGAGTCCTTAATCCTGGAGACTGGCCGCCTGAATGTACACACTGCTCGCTGTAGCTTTCATGCAAATGTGCTCACACACATGCGGACACTCCCACCCCAATACACACACGCAGCACCCTGAGCAGAAGAACAGCTGCTAGCAATGGCTCTCTGACCGTCAGGACCTCTTGACTCCTCGGGTTAGAGGAAGATTCTCCCCATGCTATTCTTCCATTGAGGCCAGGAAGTAGAAAGCCACAGATGATTAAGACAGGGAGAGTTAGGTAGACTAAGCTTCTCATTTTCAATACGGGCCTCTGAAGCCCGATGAGAACAACTTAACGAAGTCACGCCCTGAGCTAGAGGCAAACGGAAACTAGGACGGGGGTCTGCAGACTCCCAGAGCAGGTGAGCAGTCACACAGTGGAAGCCCAGGGGACCCGGCTCATCTGGCCCTGCAGCAGCGCTGCGGACAGGACTGCGCTTGGAGAAATCCGAACCTCACTTCGTCCCTCTATAAGACAGAAGGGGCCACTCTCTAGTGGGACGAACCACGGCCAGGAAAGTGAACACGTCTCTGTCGCTTTCTTTTCAGAAGGAACACTTCATTCCCTTCCACCTTCCTTAACCCAGCTGCGAAACCGCACTTTGGGGGTGTAGATGGTGGGGCTTGGACGAGCGAGGTACTCACGCAGTGGACGGTTTTCGTGAGGTTCAAGATGAGCATCGACTCGTTCAGACTTCGGTCGGTCTTCGTGCAGGTTATCTGGAAGAAGCCACTAGGATTAAGGTTCAAGCGGGGACTGGCAGGATTTCATCTTGGACTCCTCCCTCCCTCCCCCTGGGTAGGTGACACGAAAGAAGCCAGCCATTCCTGGCAAGCTGGGGGCATGGCTGGGCCAGAGTTTCAGAGCCAGGTGTGTCCAGCTGTCTCAGCCAGTACCTGACAAAGCCAGGGAGAGAGCAGGGCAAATGGACAACTGCTCTTAACCTCGCTAGCCAGGGGCCCTGGACTGGACAGAAGAGTAGAAATGCTCTTTTTCTGAGCCCCTTCTATTGGAGTCTAGGCCTCTCTTGTTGTCCCAGCCCTGCTGGAATTACCCTGTCATCCTCGAAAACCGAGGGGGGAGTAGAGATGTTGGAGTCTTGGGGGGCAGTTGGAGCCAACTGAGTACGGAAGCTTGTGGTTCCGCCAGAAGATGTGGCCACAGGTCCCGATGAAGACGTAGGCTGCAGAGTGTTGGACAAAGAAGTCGCTATCCCAGGGATGGAGGAAGGGGTCCCCGGGGTGGAGGAATGGTTCCCAGTGATGGCTGGCATCTTGCTGGGGGTCGGCAGATCTTGCGAGGTAATCGATGATCCTGTAATTGGGAAAACGAGGTTGCCAGAAAGGATGAGTAGTATCTTTAAGAGTAAAGGCCAGTTTTGTTCTTAGTTTCCTCAGGTTCTTTGGTCTTTCCCCCCAAGTCAGACGGCAAGCTGCACTAAGCAGACTGTGAGGACGAAGAGGCAAACAGGAGGTCAATGCTCGTAATATATTGAGGGATGGGTCAGACTGGATGAGCCAGTTTAAGAACCAGACAAAAGAAATAACAACAATGGCAATGACGATGTCATCAGCAGCGATAGCTAACATTAACTGAGGCACTGACTTCCTGGAGGAACTGTCCTAAGTACTTCCAAGGTACTTTCTTCCGGGATCCTCACTACAACCCTGTGAGGAAGGTACCATAATTATCTCTATTTTATAAATAAGGAAACTGCAGCTCAGAAGGGTTTGACAATTTGCCCAAGGCCACATGCTAACAAGTGGCAGAGGCAGGATTTGAATCTGGGTGTATCCAACTCAGAGCCTCTGCCCTCACTGCAGGATGCAACCACCATCTTCTGGTGTGGTGGCGTCTGTTAACTTCAGAAGCAGCCAAATCACCTGAAGAGGTCTTGGACAGGCCGATTCTCAGGTTCACACTCAGAAATTCTGCTTCAATAGACCTGACATGGGTCACGATCTTGAGGCTCATGATCCATCAGTGAGTTTTGAAACTAATTGACTGGGTTAAGACCAGCACTTAGAGAGGAAGGGAGGAGGTGGGACAGAATAGGAAATACCAGGATTTTTAAATAAAAGGCATGACTTACTCAGTGTGGTAGCCGTCCTCGGATGTGAAGGGGTGAAGGTGTAACCTGCCGTTGTGCCTGAACTACTTGAAGCTGTCGTCATTTGGTCTGGTCCCTTGGGAGAGCCTGGAGTCAGCTGTTGTGTGCTCGCTGGGGTGGTCAAGGAAGAAAGGGCAGGACTGTTGTCTGTGGAGCTACTCAGATGTTGTGTAGATTGGAGGTCCGTGCGACCTCCCTGCGTGGTCATGCTCGCAGTAACACTGGGACTACTTTGGACTTTCGTTCCAGGTGCAGTTTTAAGTCCATCCTGGCTGCTTTTGGTTTCGGTCTTCATCAGGACAGTAGTTGGTGTAATAGACTTCTGAGCTGGATCTTGAGTCGTCTTTGAGCCAGTAGCAATGGCAATATTCTTGTCTGAGGCTGGTATCCCCGATTTTTCCGAGTCGCTGGGTGCCATCTTTGTGTTTGCACTGACCGTATCACTGGTTGTTACGATGCTTGGTTTGGCTATGGCTGGATCCGCCTGTTCACCAGTGGATAGTGAATCTGAGTGATTCTCGACTGAGGCTACAGTGTCTGTTACGAGATGGACAATACAGAATCAAGTTAGGGTATTAGCTGGAAGTTTTTCTCTCCACACTCTTCCAATTCTTCCCCAGGATCCAGGGGCCTTGCTCCCATCTCTCCCCTTTGCCTTGATGAAAGCCTGGGTCCTTGTACCCAGACTTCTCTGGGGTTCAAGGAGCCTCCAAGAGGGAGACTGAGAGTGAAGCGGAGGACATCGAGGGTGACGCTGAAGAGAAAGACGAGGCCAGCTAGTCCGGCGGCATACGGAAGCCCGCAGTGAATTTCCTGCCCTCCCCATCGGCCTCATGAACATCCCTTCAAGTTTTCGATCCGCCACCACAGAACCAGGCTGCTCAGATCACCTCTGGCCCCCTCTCCCTAGCTCCCAGGCACACGATCTTACGGAAGACTCAACAGACTCATGCTTATTGAACTGCTCTGTCGTAAGACGAGAGAGACAAGAGAGACACGCCTCTGTTCTCAGGAAGGATAATCCAGAAGGAGAGACTGACAAAGCTAACGTGACACAAATTACTATTTAAGTACAATTGTGAGACATGCTAAAGAAGATCGGTACAGCGTGTTTTGACCGTGTTTAGCATGGTAGCCTAACGTCCGGGGTCAGGAAATGAAGGCCTTTGATTCATTTGTTTAACAAGTTACTTATTGAGGGAACAGTTACATGACAGTTTCGCTGTCAGGCCCTGGGATAGAACAGTGACTAAAACCCATATAATCCGTACCTGCAGGGTGCTTACATTCTAGTAGACGAGACAGATTTTAAACAACGAGAACAATTAAACATCAAATTCTGGTGACCATATGGAGGACATGAACAAGAAAATGATACAGAGAAGGTGGGGGAAACATTGAGACAGAATGCTAAAGAAAGGCCGCTCAGAGATGTCCATTAAGGTAAAACTTGAAGAAGAAGAAGAAGAAGAAGAAGAAGAAGAAGAAGAAGAAGAAGAAGAAGAAGAAGAAGAAGAAGAAGAAGAAGAAGAAGAAGAAGAAGAAGAAGAAGAA